TGGTTTTTCATTTGATCTATTTTGACCCCACTGATTTTTAATCGGTGACCTCTGCTCTAAAAGGCTAGAGGAAAATAATCTAACAATCATATTGATTATTATACTAACTTTTAGCTGAAGCCATCTCAGGTGTCCATTTCTCAAATTCTAAAATATATTCCATTTATAAGGGATTTTATTTAGTGGATAAAGCACCACCAATTATGAAACATTGTTTGTTATCACTAGTGAAACAAGCAGTTGTTTTTGTTATAGTTTTCTGTTAGAGGTCACCTTAGTTTTATTTAAAATTTCCTCAAAGATGCCATTCAATTTACCAAGCATCCCAAGGCCTTTGGAGGAGAAACAGGCCCACAGCATCACAGGACCTCCACCGTACTTAACACTGGGTATAAGGTACTTTCTAACAACCTTTAGTGTTTGTTTGGGAGGAAGAAGAATCTTTCAGAGTTTCCTATCCTTACTTCTCTGATTGTAACCAAAATGACAGGTTGAGATGAATGGCTGTTTCTGTTTGTGGTGGAAAGATTAAATTATTTGCTTGTGACTTAAAAGAATTCCAAAATACGTTGACCATGATCTTAAACCTTCCAGATCCTCCAGATTTTGAAGCCTAGCTAAGAGTAATAGATCTGTGTCAGGAAATCGAGCATTATGGGTTTAGAAGTTCTTTTATCATAAATTTAAAGTTTTATAGTGTCAACAGGGATGTCACACACACTGGGCTTACTAGGGCTGAAACAATCTCGTTAATCTTGATTAATCAATAGTTGAAATAATCATCAACTAATTTAGTAATCAATGAATTGTTAACTGGAGTAAAGAGACTCTAAAACATGCTTTTAACTGACAGAAAAACTCACTTAGGGCAGTAATTATTACCAAGATTGTAAAGAAATATTTTCCAATTTAAAAGTTTTTCATTTAAGTTGAATAACATTTTCGTTTGTAAATATGCACTGCAAAAATTACAAATCTAACTAAGTCATTTTTTTCTTAAAATAGGTATTTTTGTTCTTAAATTAAGGGGGGAAAGGGAGATACTTTGCCAATGGAACAAGACAATTTACATTTAAAATCAGTGTTGG